TAGGCATGCTATTTCGCAGGTCATTTTTTGGTGGCCTTAACCTGCGAAATTTATAATATATTATACATTCAAAACAGATAATGAGTGAATGAGAAATTGATTATCAAAGTAGACTTATTTGAGTTGGAAAATGAAGTATATAATTTTGTTTTATTTTTTAGAAAATGAACAAAATACAAAAAGACATTCGTTGAGCAGTCAAATATCGTAAAAAAGATAATTTCTAAAAAATGACTCATTTTTCAGAAGTCATTTTTATACTTTACTACGGAGCCTAAAACAATTACTAGTACCAAAAAAAAAAAAAAAACTCTGTAAATAAATAGGAAAGATGATTTGTTAAGGCGGGACGAGAAATGCTCCTCAGCAGAAAGTGTTCTCAGTTCCAAGCTTCCCGCTTTCTTACCTTTGAAACCTCCCATAACCCACACCATCAGCTTCTGCATATAACTCAGAAGCTCTTACTCTACTTGCAACAATGCGTTTCCGCCAAACAAATCCAACAAATCCATACCCAATTCCTCATTCGTTCCATTTACAAACCCAACTTTCTTCTCCGCAAAATCATTCACCTCCAAGACTTCAACTATGCCACTCTTTACTTCTCCCACATCCCGTCCCCCAACGAGTATGGGTTCAACATTATGATCAGAGGCTCGCTACTACGTGGCAAAGGTTCGATTTCGCCTTAGAATCTTATTGCAAGATGAAGTCTTTAGGCCTAAAACCTGATAACTTTACTTACCCGTTTGTGTTCATATCTTGCGGGAGCCTTCCGGCTGCTCAACTTGGCAAGTCAACTCACTGTGAGGTGGTGAAAACTGGGTTGTGCCTGGATTTTCACGTTAGGCATTCGTTGATCACGATGTACTCAAGGTTCGGTAAGTTGGGATGCGCGCGGAAGGTATTTGATGAAATGGCTGAGAGAGATTTGGTGTCATGGAATTCGATGATCTCAGGGTATTCTCAGATGGGTTATGCTAGGGAGGCGGTGGAATTGTTTGGGGAGATGAGGAATCAGGGGGTTGAACCCAATGAGATGACACTTGTGAGTGTTCTTGGAGCTTGTGGGGGCTTGGGGACTTGAATTTGGGGAGGTGTGTCGAGAGCTATGTTCTAGAGAAAAATTTTGAACTAAATTCCTTCATAGGCTCTGCTTTGATTAATATGTATGGGAAATGTGGTGATTTGGCTTCAGCCAAGAGGATCTTTGATGGCCTGAGGAAGAAAGATGTGATCATATGGAATGCAATGATTTCAGGGTGAACACTTTTTCTTAACTCTTACAAAATTTCATGATTCCCTGCAAAGTTTCTTTTGGCCTTTAAGATACCTTGTTAAGTTTTATTTATTTATTCTTTTTCCGTGATGCAGAGCATCGAGTTTTACTACACATACACCCAATTTCTACTCCCTCACTTTCACTCCCTTACATGGCAAGCTATAATAAGGCATTTTCACTATATGGGTCCTACCAAAGTGTTTACTTCAAGGGTATAGGGTATGAGTGTGTGAGTAAAAGTTAGGAGTACATGTAGCATTTTCCTAAATGATGATACTTTGGGAAGTAAACACTTTTGGTAGGACCACATGGTGAAAATGCCTGCCTTATCATAGCTTGCCAAGTAAGGGAGTAAAAGTGAGGGAGTAGAAATTGGCCGTATGTGTAGTGAAACTCCATCATTTATGGTTTTTGTCCAATGCATGTTTACTTTTGTACTTATTTCTGCTGGAGTCTTACACTTCTACATAAATTACATTACTTTAATGTGGAAACCAATTATTATTCCTCTTGTCCAGGGAAGGTGACACATGATAGTTATGTTTGTTATCTCATTAAATGGCTACTCACCTGAAATATAGAAGAAACATGATACTTCTATCTAGAAAATAAGTATGCACCTAACATAGAGACCTGGGAAGGGGTGGGATAGGCAGATAACAGAAGGAGCTTAGAGGAGAGGTAGTGCCATACTAGTTAAAGACATTATCTTCAAGTCCAACAGCTACACTTCATAGAATGAAAGTCTCTTATATGTCCTTTATTATGGTGATAGTTTCTTATTGTTTTCACTTCTGTTTTCTATATTTTCTTATTTTGATATGTTTTCTATCTATGACAGATTTGCACAAAATGGATTTTCTGATGAAACAATTTCATTATTCAACACCATGAAGGAAGCAGGAGTTAATCCTAATAAAATCACATTGGTTGTAGTGCTCTCTGCATGCGCCTCTATTGGAGCCCTAGATATTGGGAAATGGATTGATGAATATGCATCAACAAGAGGTTTGAAGCATGACATCTATGTTGGTACAGCATTAATTGACATGTATGCAAAATGTGGAAGCCTGGATTCTGCATACCAAATTTTTGAAAACATGTCCATGAAGAATAGAGTCTCATGGAATGCAATGATCTCAGCTCTTGCTTTTCATGGGAGAGCCTTTGAGGCTCTGTCTCTATTTGACCACATGTCAGCTGAGGGTGATGTTAACCTCCCAGATGATATCACATTTGTTGGAGTACTTTCTGCATGTGTGCATGCAGGATTGGTTGATGAAGGTTACCGAATCTTTAGTTTGATGAAATCTCATGGACTAGTTCCAAAAATTGAGCATTATTCTTGCATGGTTGATCTTTTGTCTCGTGCTGGTGTGTAGAGGAAGCATGGGACTTAATTGAGAAGATGCCTGAGAAACCTGATGAGGTTTTATTAGGTGCAGTGCTGGGTGCCTGCCGCAAGGTAAAAAATGTTGAAATTGCTGAACGTGTCATGGAGCTTATTCTACAGATGGAACCATCAAATTCTGGTAATTATATAATTTCTTCAAAGATATATGCACATGCGAAGAGATGGGATGAATCAGCAAAGATGCTCAGATTGATGAAAGAGAAAGGGGTGACTAAAACACCTGGTTGTAGCTGGATTGAGATGGATTCTCAAGTTTTTGAGTTTCATGCTGGTGATTCAGTAAATCAAAACACAACAGAAATTTATGAAGTTCTTCAGTTGCTATATGAGGAGTTAAAGATAGAAGCTGACTCATTAACTGCTGATTTTGCATAGAAAGGTGTGATTTAAGAGATTTTCTCTTAAATTTTTTGACATTATAGTGTTATGCATGCCTAAAATCATTATGTAGTAGGTGTTAACCTCTGATTCTTGTTATGAAATAATATCATGAGCATAAGGTTCAGTAGTGACCTTGTCTAAGCCTCTTCCACTTACCATATTCTAAAGAGTACATATCATCAATTGTTGCATGAAAGGTGGTTAACCTGCCTGATATGATCTCTACCCAGGAATAAGTTTGGTCATAAGATGTAGTTATTCTGCATTCAAAAACTGGGAAATATGGCTATAGAATCTAAACATTAGAATTGATTGGATAGAAAACTATTCAACTCACAATTTGAAGTAACTGGTACAATGTAGTTTAATGGTTTAGATAGGTGATACTTGATAGAAATTTGTAGTTGGTTATCTTAAAATAAAAGTTATTGTTAGTATTTCTTTTTTCTTGTGTGCAATTATTACATTTGCTCACCTGTGTGTGCCTGCTCAAGTTTTTTTTTTTTTTGGTATATGATTTAATTCTCAGTATGTCACTTGTAGTAGTTATTATAACTGCCATCGAAGATAGTTGCTTGATTGCGTGCTGTGTGCTCTGACTGGTGTTTCTTATGCACTTTTTTCTCAATCAAATTGGAAGTACGATCCTGTGTAGTTCAAACAAGCTCCTTCGTACTTTAAAACTAATGTACTCTTGATTTCTGGTTTCATATTATTTTGTAGTTTGCCAAATGGATACAGGTGGCATACTGTATTATGAATTCAAGGAGTGATAATTGAATATTTTTGAGTGTATATTGGGTGGCTGGAGTGCTGGACTCCTATATCTGATTTGAGGTTACCCCATTCCAAGTTATGCATGGTTTTATTATCCCATTCATATGTTTTTTTTTTTTTTTTCCTTATTTTCTTTCTTCTGTTTTCCCATTTAATTTGAGAAGCTTGATTAGTCAATCAAGTAGATGGCATCTCTTGCCCTTGTATCATAAACTCAGTACAGCTTTTACTTATCGAACACAAGTTGAGTTTGAGAAAGGGAAGGAATAGTCACTTTCTCAACCCTTTCTTCTCCGATTTCTAGGTGAGGTGGATCCGTAGAATCACTCTTGCAGATGTGCTGAGGAAAGGAAGGTCACACCGTCAAAGTGCACAAGAGTTTCATGCTTTGTGATATATGGACAATCCAGTTACTGGTTAACTTCATGTAAACAAGATCCATATCACAAAATGGTGTGTCCTTTATGCCTATGCCCTTCTGTGATGCAGTCATACTATTTTTATTGTTTGATCAGTTGATCCAACTTAATTCGTGGAGAGGTTTGCCATCTCAAAAGGTGGACATAGTGATGAAGATATGAAAAGGAAGCTTGGTACTTATTTTCTCATTTTCACTTTAATAGGTGGACTAGGTGTGTATGCTTCTAGTTCTTGTGTTTAAACTTTATCTTCTCTCTTACTATATATGCACTGATTCAATCAGAGTCGTCTTCAAGTAATAGGACTTGGACACAGTTCTAATCTAACTTCAAGTATCAGCAGGATGCTAGGATCTAATCTTAACATACTAAAATATGATCTCAGTCTGAATTCTACCTCAAATACCTGATAATAGATAGGTTTTCAACCCAGTTCTATCCATATGTGGATCATCTTGAGACCCAAAAGTAAATGAAATAAACGGAGAGCTTAGCAAGGATGTTGAACAATTCTTTCCTTTTCTATTTCCAATATTTGAAGGCTAAAGTGTCATCCCACCTGAACCATATGCGATTCTTCATGCCGCACCCTGACCTTTCATAAGTGCTGATTTGATCCACAAACCTTTTTTTTTTTTTTTTTTTTTTTTGGTCGCCTAGCCCTTTTAGAAGGTAGCCTTTAAGTCTCCGGTTTTCTTTTGCTGATGTGGAGCTGATATGTTATTAACCTGTTTGTTTTTGTAGATGTGGCAGCACTTTCATCACTTAGGTGTAATATACCCAAATTAAATGGTCAATTGCTAACCCTAATTCAAATTGGTCAATTGAAACCAACGAACACAAACTCGCGACCACTGGGAATCTTGCCAAATCTCCCAAAATCATGACCAACGAACCCTAAATCCCTAATCCCGACGACCTCCAGACGGCATCCCTACATCGGTGACGAACAGTGGGTGACAAACATTGGGGACGAAGGTGTGAAGGCGAAGTCGTAGTGAATATATGCGAAGGAGTAAGGTATGTTCAAGTCTATGTGTAGAACAATATATAGGCATAGTTTTTTTTTTTTTTTTTTTTTTTTTTTTTTTTTTTTTTTTTTTTTTTTTTTTTGTTTTGGTGGAGGCAATATATGTGCATAGTGTAGGTATATTATACTGTTGTTAATGGAATATGCGAATATGGCTGTCAATTTGCTTTGAATATGATGTGTTGTGGTCCTACTGCTGTTGCTTTTGCTTATATTTTGTATTGATTTTGATGTAGTGGGGTCCTGTTGTACTACATTATTGTTTGAATACGTTTGTATAAAGTGTGGTCCTGCATTTCTTTAGTTTTATTTCTGACAGTTGGTTGGTGTATAAAGTGATACTGCCAAAGCTGTTGCTTTTATGATTAAATATGCCTTAAATTTCTGTTGTC